CATGGCGTGCTTCTATTAATTGGTTTTTGGTATATAACCATAGTGAATATACTTACATTTAAACTAAAAATATGCCGTTTGCTATTAGCATTGCTTACTTACCTTTTTGTAATATTTTCAAAAAGGGTGATTTTATTTTGATGAACAAAATAGAATTCCAGAAAATAAACAAATTAAGGGATTTCCGTATAACATTTTCTTTGACCTAAATTTTAGGTTAGGTACAAGATAGCGAGATGCCATTTTCGCGAGCTCATTTAGCTACTTTTTCATAACAAAAAATCATACCAATCTATTTTTGAGAAAATTAATCATTTCTGTCAGAATGTTGATATAAGCCCTCTAGCGGCTACATGTAAAACTAACAAAACTTCAAATATTATAACATTTGTAGTCTAAGAATAGCTCTTTTGAACTAGCTCAAGTTTATTAAAATCGGCTCAGTCGTTTTTACGGAAACCTTTGAAGACCCCCACCACTTTATTTTCAGAGATACAACAAAAATTGTCAAACAAAAAAGCTTCAGACTATCATCGAATTTAAAAATCAGGTTTCTTTTTGTTAAGTTAATATAGCAGAATTCACAGAAACATCACTTTTTCAGATTCAAGATTGTAGTTTCGCCCCCTGCCGGCCATTTCAGAAACTTGAAAATATTTTCCAGGTTTTTCTCTTGGCCGTTTTGGTATTGACTGTTTTGCCAAAAATCTCTACGATAGATAGGTTCCCAGACAGCACCTCGCATTTTTAGTTGGCCACCCTGTACAAACAATATGGCGAATTTTAAAACCTCACTTTTTTTAGTATCCGCTCCACGTGGAATGCCCTACAGGCTGTACGATTCTGCAGTATTATTCTTTGTAATTCTAATTACACGTTCGGTATTAATTTATCGTTGCGTTAAAATGTTGAATACAATTGTCTATTGTCAAAGTAACTCTGAATACTGCATTTCTTTCTCCGAAACCAATCTCCTTCACACTAATTCAAAACAAATGTCCTATACTTTCACGCAGGCTGAGTCGTTGCTTAGGCTAGTGATCAATAATTTTTCCATCTTCACCGATAAAATCCTACAAAAACATTAAATTAAACGTAAGATTGTCTGCACTCAGTTCGCAGATGTGCTGCTTTAAAATTTTTAATGCGTTCACGTTGTCAGTCGTTGTAAACAAGCACAGATGGACAGTAATTGAATCTTACAGGAAGCACATGGTTAGACTAATAGAATAAAGACATAATTTAACTGCCAAAAATAATTCAAGATGATGAAAAATGCTAATGTGTTTCATTGAGCGGCCAGATAGAAATTTCTCGTATATACTTGAACACCTAGATTCCATTGAATACCTAACAATATTGTTGGCAATATCAGCTGCAAAACAGCTACAGACAAAGCTGGAGGAGTGTGTGGTGGTTTTCCGCAATGCCTTCCCACGCTGAAGAGTAAAATCCCATAAGATAATGGACGGGGTAGCACCTAAACCAAAACAACTATGAAGGGTGTTCGGCAGCTAATATCCCAGAATCTGGAGGTTAAACAAATGGCACTCACACCTCAATCTCAGGAAGAAAGTAACTGACACGAAACACCTAACTTAAAATCTTATAAGATAATGGACGGGGTATCACCCAAACCAAAACAACTAAAGGGTGTTCGGCAGCTAATAACCCAGAATCTGGAGGTCAAACAAATGGCACTCACACCACAATCTCAGGAGGAAAGTAACTGGCACGAAACACCCAACTTAAAATCCCATAAGATAATGGACGGGGTAGCACCCAAACCAAAACAACTATGAAGGGTGTTCGGCAGCTAATATCCCAGAATCTGGAGGGTTAAACAAATGGCACTCACACCTCAATCTCAGGAGGGAAGTAACTAGCTCGAAACACCTAACTTAAAATCCCATAAGATAATGGACGGGGTAGCACCAAAACCAAAACAACTATGAAGGGTGTTCGGCAGCTAATATGCCAGAATCTGGAGGTTAAACAAATGGCACTCACACCACAATCTCAGGAGGAAAGTAACTGACACGAAACACCTAACTTAAAATCCCATAAGACAATGGATGGGGTAGCACCCAAACCAAAACAACTATGAAGGGTGTTCGGCAGCTAATATCCCAGAATCTGGAGGTTAAACAAATGGCACTCACACCTCAATCTCAGGAGGAAAGTAACTGGCACGAAATACCTAACTTAAGATCCCATAAGATAATGGACGGGGTAGCACCCAAACCAAAACAACTATGAAGGGTGTTCGGCAGCTAATATCCCAGAATTTGGAAGTAAAACAAATGGCACTCACACCACATTCTCAGGAGGAAAGTAACTGGCACGAAACACCTAACTTAACATCCCATAAGATAATGGACAGGGTAGCACCCAAACCAAAACAACTATGAAGGGTGTTCGGCAGCTAATATCGCAGAATCTGGAGGTTAAACAAATGGCACTCACACCACATTCTCAGGAGGAAAGTAACTCACACGAAACACCTAACTTTATAAAGGAAGGTTGAAAAAGATATGTTCTATAGGAAACCAAATAAGAAAAACCACCATACTACACGTGTAAAATTTGATCTGCTATTGATTTTACCTACAATTTATACATTTATCATTCATCGTATGAACTTGCCCCACCCTGGGCCATTGGCCGGCGACGCCCTTGCCTTGATAGATGAATTATTTTCCTGATGACAGAAAACCAGAGTAAACACCATCCATTTTCTAGACCCTTAGGTAGGCTTAATTTCAACTTTTTTATTTTTTGCAGGTAAGTTGCCGTTTAAAATACTGCTTGGAACAAAACACCACTCCGTAAGTATTTATGTGTGACAAAATAAAAAATGATACTTCCAATAAAAGTAAGCCAAAGCGCCAGCTGTTCGTTATGGGCGCTTCTATACAGGGTGTTAATTGAGTATGTACCATAAATTTAATATTTGATTCTTTAAGGAATTTTACGACAAACAGTTCATATAAGCAAATCATTCGTTCTCAAGATACAGGGTGTTAAAGCTTTTAAAAAAATGGTTTTTCGTAAATATCTTAAATATCCTTTACCTAATTTTGTCGTAATTTGGCGGTGGTATTTATAACATAACATAACTAAGGTTAAGTTGAAAAACGCTAATTTTAGCGACACTTCGCCTTTTTTGTACTTTTACTTAGGTACGAAATAAAGCCCATTTATTATTATTATTATTATTATTATTATATAACATTAAGGAGCTAATTTAGCTCCAGCTTGATTAAATTTATTAAGTCCACTGGCTTCTCGAACGGGATCTGATCGAATATTTGTGACAAAAAATGTACGCCATTGACTTTTGTTCAATTTGCATTTGCATTCTTTGGATTAAGCAAATAGAAATAAAACTTTTTTGTCTTTTGAATTTTTTTCGTTTTCGAGAACAAAAGTTCGCTAACCTGGATCACGCAAGAAATATGGGGAAAAGTTTTGGAAATTATTATTTTTTTATAATTTTTTATTACTAATTATGTAACAAAAACAACAAATACTAAATAACATTTACATAATTAGTGATAAAAAATTATCAAAAAAAAGACTAATTTCCAAAAGAAGCTTTCCCCATAGTCCCTGAATGGTTCAGGGATATGCAATTAAGTGGACCTTTTTTTTCTTAAAAACTAAGTAAGATAGGAAAAAAAAGCGAAAAAAATTCAAGGAACAAACAGGTTGTGTTTCTATTTGCTTTTTTGTCACAAATATTCGTTCAGATCCCGCTTGAGACGCCACTGGACTTGATAAATTTAATCAAGTTAGAGCTGAATTAGCTCCTTAATGTTATAAATACCGATGCCAAATTTCACGCTAATTATGCTTGGCGTTTTCGACGTTTTTTTATCTAAAATGGCTTAAAAGTTCAAATTTAATTTCACGAAATTAACTACACTACTTGCCTCATCTTTTAATAGAACATATGTACTACTCATACCAGTTCCTTTTTCTCACCTTTCTCCCCAGTAAAATCAAAGCTCGACGAGTGCCAAAAAGGCATTCATCAACGGCGGTTGGGATTCTATAGTATAAGCGATATGGTGGCAGGGTTGCCAGGCCGTTTACTTCAGTTTCCCCAGTCGAAATGTCAAAATTCCCAAAAATACCATTTACTTCTGGTATCATAGATCTACGGTTTGTTAGGTATTCTTGGATCCTAAAATATTTTTTTGAGCGATATTTTTTTATATATCGCTAAATACCCCAAAAGGTAGAAGTAGTTGTTTCGAATCGACGGACAACTAAATACACAACAAGTACAATAATGTCATTAATAAAATTTTACATTATAATACCTTCCTGATAAAATATGTTTCCCCAAAAGAAATCCCTAGAAAAAAAACATATCCCCAAAATTTTCTCTATTGAAACGAAAATCCCCTGATTTTTGGGGAAAACCCCCTAATATGGCAACTCTGTACGGTGGTGCGTTATCACCCACTTAGCGTTGCCAAATCACATGCTTTTCGGAGAATATACTACTTTTGTGTCAGCGGCAAGGTTTACAGAAAAGAGGTATGAACAACTGGAACGAATATAAACGATTGGTATATTCAATGATGATGTCCCTAGAGCTTAGAGATTGTGGAACAATCTTCATGAGGTGGCTTTTCCCAGTTCCACCAGCCTTAGGAAAAATCGGATTAACAAAGTTTCTTCAAGCTCCTAACAGCAGCCGCGGTGCCTAGGCATTTAGGCTTCTGCCTGCGCTGCTACTTCGGTATAAAGAAAAAACTCACGGTCCCCACCACCTGCCTGCGCGACAAATAAAAAAATCGTTTGATCCTTCGAGTCGAATAATTGATGTCGCTAGCACTGGTGAAATCTTTCATCGCGCTTATCAAATATATGTTTCTTCCATCTCAGGTGACTTGACAACATAGCATATAGTAAACATTTCTCGCCGGTCTCATGCCGAAGCGACGTTGTGACGCACAAGCGCACAGCTGTTCAGTGAGCCATGCGCGGTTCATCCTTCAGCACCGTTTGAATCCTAACCGAAAGAGGATTCCTTTGACGTGACCGCGAACCGTTACGGAATTCCAAGCTTTAAATCGCCGCGCAACATGCTTTTTCCAGCTTCATACCGATAACAAAGCTTTACGGAGCTTGGAGATGATGTGATGTTTTTGGTGTGTATTTTTGATATTAGTATTTGTTCCACTGATGCTTATAAAATCGTTCATGGTGGTGAGTTTTTAATAGAAATCAACTAGACATCAATAGAAAAAGTTAAAAACCCCTATCGGAAATTGAAATGATCTTTGAAGGGACAGATTTTGTTGCTTCGTAGCAAAGAACGCGCTCTATTAGGTTGAGGACGAATTCAAAACAGTTTTTACCATTTTGGAACTACATTACCTTAAAGAGATATACACACACGCGTAGGCTGATACCTAAACTTACAACCCCTTTTGTAATAAATATTTGGAGTAAATTTACATAAGGCGTATTCAGCTAAGAATTCTTCAGAAGCAGAACTCTTGCAGAGTGTCTCATATCTTCTATGTCACAAAAACGTGATCTAAAACATATTGGCGCTATTCAAAGCTCTGCTTATAGTTCTATTTGAAACGGTTATGGAATTCAATTACTAGGCAAATTTATAATTGCCCTACCATCAAGTGTTTCAGGAGAATTGCTTTTATTTTCATCAAACATCTTACATGGCCGCCTGCAGAAGGCCCCCTGAAAATCTGGTCTAAAAGCATGGTTTCCTGTACAACAATTTCAGGGATTTTCAAGACTCCCCCTGAGAATTTGGTTGGCCCCCATTCCCCCATTCCTTTGAGAAAATTTGCTACCCACTGCAAATATATTCATAGGCATTATATGCAATAAGTTGCCTCTTGGCTATCCCTAATTGCCCCCCCACCCTCGGTCTCCAAAATGCTTGCCTGCAGCCTCGCAGACATAGCTATGAACCACTTGAACAGAAAAGACTCGATTAAAAAACCCTCACCTAAATCAGCCCATCTGTTAGGAGGTTTTACTTACTGGATTAAAAATCATGTAGAAAAGTTGGTATAATTGCCAACCGACATAACCTATTTTTGTTAAAGGATCTACAAATCGAACCATTTCATCTGACACCCTATTCTGGCGTAGCAAGAACCATCTAGACAGACAAGACTTACAAAAGGGCCGCTCTCATATCGGTTTATTCGTTGGGTAGTTATAATGATACATACGTCAATCTTAATGAGACTTCTCTGTTTTCGTCCAATCCAAGTCCAAAACAGGACTGCTAGTTTCCAATGGCAGCAATAGCCATTAAAGTGGGATGAAAATGTAACCGGATTTGTGCTATTAAAGCATTAAATCCAATACATTATAATTCCTATCAGGTTATAATAAAATTTAAATAAACCGTGATTTTATAATGAAAATAACGAGATCTTCCAATGAAATCTACCGCGGTTTGCCAATGCAGAATACGTTTGGTTGTTATCGCTACTCATATTTACATTTCAAATAAGTGAAATGATTGTTATATTTCACAGATGTTTGTAGTATCGTTTTCATCACGTACATGTGTGTCAAATTAAGCCATACTGAAAACAATAATTTGAATATACGAGGTCTCAAATCAGCATAATAAAAAATTCCAGGCGGTCCATTTTCCACACGAAATTCACCGCTATGGAACTTCAGAACCTACGAGGGTGGTCCCAGAAGTACCCGACAAATTTTTTTTAAAAAAATTTATTTATTTTCAACATAATCTCCTTTGAGCTCTATACACTTTTCCCAGTGATGTTCAATAAGTTCGATACCCTTTTTTTAAAAAGAACTGTCTTGCTCCTCGAAATAGCCATCACTTCTTCATCACTGGAAAATCTTTGACCACTGAGCCATTTTTGCAAGTTTGGAAATAGAAAATAATCCGAGAGGGCTAAATCTGGTGAATAGGGTGCATGAGGTAGCAATTCAAACTTTAATTCGTTAATTTTGGCCATTGCAATAACGGAGTTGTGAGCTGTTGAAACAACACTTTCTTCTTAACCAAATGCGGCCGTTTTTGCTTGATTTCGTCGCTCGAACGTTGCAATACGATCGCATGATACTCACCGTTGATAGTTTTACCTTTTTCAAGATAGTCAATGAAACGCATCCCAAAAAACCGACCCCATAACCTTGCCTTCTTTGGAGCCGGTTGTCCCTTTTGAAACGACACAAAAATTCTGCTTTGTTGCTGTGAAACTGCGCTAAACACTCAATTGAAACATCTTCACGACACTGTTTTTGCTGGATTGTGAACAATCGCGGCACCCATCTTGCACACAGCTTTCTCATGTCCAAATTTTCAGATAATATGCGATGAACCGCACTTTTTGAAATGCCTATGTCTGCTAGCTCGCGCACTTTCAGTCGACGATCATTCAGTACCGCTTTGTGAAGTTTCTTCACCATTTCTGGAGTCGTCACCTCATTTGGTCGACCACTGCGATGCTCATCTTGGCAGCTCATACTGTCTCGTTTAAACTCTGCTACCCAATATTTTACTAAACGAAGGAGTAGACTAACCCAGAGTAGAATCCAATTCAGCTTTTATATTGGTTGGGCTGAGGCCTTTGAAATAAAAGTATTGTACCACATAACGATGACCAATTTTCTCCATTTTCACAAATTCACTGAAAACGTTCAGTATTGATGGCTACCAAACAAATACTAAACAACGTAGCCTCTTCAAACTTGATACATATGCTTTATAGGTTGCATACTTTCTAATACAATGATATTTTTGCGATATTGGCATTTCTAGGTCAGGCCGGGTACTTCTAGGACCACCCTCGTAGTTACACAAACTTTTAACAACAACTAGCAAACACGGAAATGTGGACGTCAATCCGGAAACGGGGCCAAGTCTAATAATTATCAGAAAAATATAAAAAAAATCTAAGTCGTGAACTTTTCGTATTATAGGCTTTAGAAAAAATCGAAAAAATATAAAAAAATCTACACCCTGCGTTGATCTTTTAGTTCCCATCACTATAAACTTCAATTTTTTTTAGACGGAAAGACGGACGGTGTCATTTTACCTAGTGACAGCAAGACAAATATATAACGCAACTTTCATTTTTTTTTATTTTTTCTGATAACTATACTAAGTGACATATAAATCCGAACACCCAGTTTAAATGGTTTTATTTTAATAAAATTTTGTATAAGTACTTAATGAAGCATAATAGGTAAATGATAAAAATTTCAAAATGATTGCACTGCTTTAAAGCCCTTTGACCTTTAATAATGTGTGGATGCACCCTGATGTGCTACGCATTCTCCAACACGCCTAGGCATGCTTCTGATCAGGTGGTCAATGTCCTCCTGTGGTCTGTGGTATCTCATTCCAGGCAACCACCAACTCCTCTCGAAGTGCTTCTAGAGTCTGAGGAGGACGTTGCAAATTGAGCACTCTCCTACCCATCATATCCCACACGTGCTCAATTGGGGATAAGTCGGGAGATCTTGGTAGCCATGGTAACAATGTGGTAACTATGTTGAAAGAAGTCTATTGTGACTCTTGCAACATGTGGGGTCGGGCAGTATCTTGTTGGAAAGTTGGATCTGCCAGGGTGTCAAGATAGGGTAAAAGATGGGGTTCTAGAACTTCGTGGATATAACGCTGCGCATTCATGTTACCTCTGATGAAGATTAAAGGTGACCTGGAACCATAAGCTATAGCACCCCAAACCATAACTCCAACAGTGTGATGAACATGTCTTTCAACAAAAAACTGTGGATTCCTCCTTTCACCACGTCGCCTTCTAACCCTGGCACGACCATCGTGCATGCCTAAACAAAATCGAGACTCGTCACTAAAGACAATACTGTTCCATTCCTGATCCCAGAGTGACCCTTGTCTGCACCACTCAAGGCGATTACGTCGGTGTTCTCGAGTTAAAGGGAGGACCCAGTGTGGCCGGTATGAAAACAAGCCAAAACTTCTCATTCGTCGGTAAACACTTCGCATGCCAATAGGTCTTCCGTGTTCTGCAAACCATTCATTTGCAATGTACCTGGTAGTGGAGAAACGGTCCCTTAAGGCCAATAATCTTAGGCAGTAATCATCACGGTCTTGTTGTTCTACGGCGGCGTCCAGTGCCCCTTGCTCTTTGCGTACGGCCTTCTCGAAGCCATGCCTGACAACACCTAACCACAGTGTCTACACTTCTTTGCACTCTAACTGCAATTGCCCGAAAAGAAAGTCCAGCTTCCCGAAGTCCCACTATACGGCCCCTATCAAACTCACTAAGTTGACGAAATCGTACAGGTCTCCGTACTCTAGGCATCCTAACCGATCGTAAAGGATGTCAAGAACCAAAATCCGCCAACGTTGATTCTTTACTGCGGCTGAAATATTCATTTTTAGAGCGTTAGTAAATTAAAAAAAAGCAGTATAAAAACCGGAATGTCCAACTGATAAGCCTGAAAATTTTTTCACTTGTTATTTACAGTAAGATAAATACATTCACCAACTTTTATTAAAATAAAACCATTTAAACTGGGTGTTCGGATTTATATGTCACTTAGTATATTATGACACGTCGGCTTCTGGGACATATGTGATAATAGTAGAAATCAATTAATATTTATTACTACGCGCACCACTGTGGACAATTTTTACGCAATATATGTTGTAGATATCAATTAAAATTCACACCAAAAGCTATCATCATAAAAATCAATGTCCGCAGCTAGTCATATAGATTAAATCACAAATTTCGTGATTTCGTCGTGCCAAAAACTGGAAGTGCAATACTAGTTACCAGTACTCTCGAATAGTTACCGAAAAGTACAAAATATTATTGTGAATCTGTGATGGGAAGACCAAACATAAGGAAATACAAGAAAATGTCGTCGGAGGCGGTGACAGAAAGAAGAAAGGGCACAGATATGCTTAAACGCTCAAAGTCAGTTAGAGCATCTCTGAAGCTCATCGGGCATAAGCTCATACACCACAGGAATATGCAGAAGACGCCTTCGATGTCCAACCTGCACGAATTTAAGAGGTAGGCAGAAAAAAGTGTAGCGGCAAAGGAAAATGGACAAATACCTCAAAAGCTATCTGGCGAGTGCGTAAATCTTGAAATCATCAAAAAAGCTTAGTGTCTTTCCTACGGTGATGATGGGAATCATCGACAAAATAAGTTGTAACTTTTTAAAAGTCTTCGACGCTCAAAAAGATTTTACAAAGCCCAAAGATCAAAAAAACGTAATACACAAAGCAAACTTTCTGGAAGCTCTGTTTTCAATTACCTTTTTGTTTTTGGCTTAATTAAAAATGCTATTGCTAGATACGTTTCGAGTTATAGAGGGTGTCCCAAATCGAGATGGTAATATGTCGGATGCATATTGAACAAACAAAAAATAATGACACAAGTTCCCAGAAAAAATGTTTTACAGTATTTCTGAACGGCAAAACGTTCAGCACAGCAATCAGTTGAACTCACTTAGATCACCAGAGACAGGCTAGCCCTAAGGTGATATTGCAGAATTTATATATTGGCTTGAAAACTTAGACTGTCTGGTCATTTAGCCCAAAAAAATGTATCTTGTTTGATTTCACCGAAACGATTCGCTTTTAAGTCACGTTCAGATTCACGCTGGAAGAGACCTTACAACGTTCCACAAAAAACTAAAATTTGGTTGAGTGATCTGAAAATGTATATCCTGGGAATTGTTTGGTCGTTGATTGCAAGTCTATCATCAGAAATACAGTATTTTCGAAACCGCGGAATCGGTATTTTGGATCCAGTACCAAGATTAATAAATCCGAACTGAAACCAGAATTTTTTTCTAAAATATTTTGGGCTAGGTTCAGAATTTCTTGAAATGCAATTTTTAACCATTTTTATACAAATCATCAATATAGGCCTAGTTCGTCTCTGGCGATCTAAATAAGCTAGTTGTTTTTCATGGCTAGTATCATATCATGGGCGCCCGTAAGGGGATGCTAGGGGGACTGTTACCCCTAACCTGAAAATAATGACTTTTGCGATTTTTTGGATTAGAATTTTGGGACCAGGTACATTTTAACAAAAGTTGTCTTGCCGACGTCCCTACTGCCTACTATGCTATCAAAATTTTCTTTGGCATTTTTTTGGGGCCGGTATCTCCATAGGGTATTTCTTATTGAATCTTGTGGCAATATTTTTTGCGTTCTTTGTGTAACCGAGAGATTATCATCTTGTTCAGGGACATCCCATAGGCACAGACGACAGACAAACCGACGGAAATGAATGACATACGAGGTCTGTACATTAAGTGATGAGACTGATTTGTTTAATTGTTTTTATTTAAATGCCATATAATTACAATTTTATAGAATAGAAAGGATTTATTAAGGTCATCACATCAAACCAAAATAGTCTCTCCGAAGTCTCTTTTTGAAAATTTTTGCATTTCTAGGTGTTTTTACATTAATAGGCAGATTGTTGTACATTTTTAGACCTTCAACAAACATTGACTTTTCTAAACCTTTAAATCTGAATCTTTGTATATGGAAATTTTCTTTTGATCTAATGTCCTAACCTTGCATTTCACGTCTTTTTTTTTTAGAAACTGTTCAAGATAAGGTGGAGCCTGATTATTGATAATTTTATCTAAAATAATTAAATTTGCCTCTTGAATAATTTGGTGTATGTTTAAAAAATTTAATGCCTTTAACATATCCTGTATATCGGTGTACCTGCTACAATTTAACAAAATCCGCATACATTTATTTAATACAATTTGCAACCTTTGCTTTTGCTCATTCGTGCATGTAATCAAAAGTGATGCACAATAAGTAAAATGAGGAAAAATTATTGTATTGTAGACTATCCCTCTGCACCAGGGACTTAGATTCTCACAAATTCTACGAATCTTTTTGCTTAATGTCCGACCCATATAGTCAACATGTTTGTTGAAAGTTATTTGCTGATCTATACTAAGTGACATATAAATCCGAACACCCAGTTTAAATGGTTTTATTTTAATAAAAGTTGGTGAATGTATTTATCTTACTGTAAATAACAAGTGAAAAAATGTTCAGCCTTATCAGTTGGACATTCCGGTTTTTATACTGCTTTTTTTTAATTCACTAACGCTCTAAAAATGAATATTTCAGCCGCAGTAAAGAATCAACGTTGGCGGATTTTGGTTCTTGACATCCTTTACGATTTCGTCAACTTAGTGAGTTTGATAGGGGCCGTATAGTGGGACTTCGGGAAGCTGGACTTTCTTTTCGGGCAATTGCAGTTAGAGTGCAAAGAAGTGTAGACACTGTGGTTAGGTGTTGTCAGGCATGGCTTCGAGAAGGCCGTACGCAAAGAGCAAGGGGCACTGGACGCCGCCGTAGAACAACAGACCGTGAAGATCGCCGCCTAAGATTATTGGCCTTAAGGGACCGTTTCTCCACTACCAGGTCCATTGCAAATGAATGGTTTGCAGAACACGGAAGACCTATTGGCATGCGAAGTGTTTACCGACGAATGAGAAGTTTTGACTTGTTTTCATACCGGCCACACTGGGTCCTCCCTTTAACTCGAGAACTCCGACGTAATCGCCTTGAGTGGTGCAGACAATGGTCGCTCTGGGATCAGGAATGGAACAGTATTGTCTTTAGTGACGAGTCTCGATTTTGTTTAGGCATGCACGATGGTCGTGCCAGGGTTAGAAGGCGACGTGGTGAAAGGAGGAATCCACAGTTTTTTGTTGAAAGACATGTTCATCACACTGTTGGAGTTATGGTTTGGGGTGCTATAGCTTATGGTTCCAGGTCACCTTTAATCTTCATCAGAGGTAACATGAACGCGTAGCGTTATATCCACGAAGTTCTAGAACCCCATCTTTTACCCTATCTTGACACCCTGGCAGATCCAACTTTCCAAGATAATGCCCGACCACATATTGCAAGAGTCACAATAGACTTCTTTCAACATAATGATGTCACATTGTTACCATGCCCACCAAGATCTCCTGACTTATCCCCAATAGAGCACGTGTGGGATATGATGGGTAGGAGATTGCTCAATTTGCAACGTCCTCCTCAGACTCTAGAAGCACTTCGAGAGGAGTTGGTGGTTGCCTGGAATGAGATACCACAGGAGGACATTGACCACCTGATCAGAAGCATGCCTAGGCGCGTTGGAGAATGCGTAGCACATCAGGGTGCATCCACACATTATTAAAGGTCAAAGGGCTTTAAAGCAGTGCAATCATTTTGAAATTTTTATCATTTACTTATTATGCTTCATTAAGTACTTATACAAAATTTTATTAAAATAAAACCATTTAAACTGGGTGTTCAATCAAGTAATTCTCCCTCAATTTTCAATGGCATATTTAAATCCACCAATTGCAATTATTCTTCGAACCTATAATCATACATTTCGTTTTTCTCACATTTAATTTAATCTTGTTTGTTTTTAACCATAAACTAAGTTTGCTCATTTCAATATTCATTACATCTACAATTTCGTTACTTACTGAATCACTAACTGAAATTAATGTGTCATCCGCAAACAAATTTATAAAAGAATATCATTGACATGTAGAATAAACAGCAATGGGCCTAGTACGCTGCCTTGATGTACTCCATCGACAGAAACATTACTTGATATTTTACTAATTTTTACCACTTGTAACCGCTCAGATAAATAATCACCCACCCACAAGAGCGCTTAATTCCATACATTTCACATTTTCTCAACAACAATTTCCTGTCAATAGTTCACCCGCAAAATAACTTCCACCTAAAGCTATACAGCGCTGGAGACGGTCCCAAAATGAGTCCTCTTGAGAATTGATGTCACTCATTCAGTCATCACAAATGACTAGAGCGAGTTCAAACTTGTACTGAAGGCGGATCACCTGTTATCCCTCCAAGCTCGGCGCCTCCAGTGTTGCCAAACCGAACGCTACGTTGCCGGTCTCATCACTTACTTTAGAGACCTCGTACTTCGCACTTTACGTACGTTGTTCACGTGTCAGCATACAACATGTTTTCATGAGGGGATAGTTCCTGAGACATCCATCTATGAGCAAGAATACCATTTTAGAGCGAACTCATTCTTTGTACCTGAACGCGTAACTAGGGAAAATGAAATATACTAAGTGACATATAAATCCGAACACCCAGTTTAAATGGTTTTATTTTAATAAAATTTTGTATAAGTACTTAATGAAGCATAATAAGTAAATGATAGAAATTTCAAAATGATTGCACTGCTTTAAAGCCCTTTGACCTTTAATAATGTGTGGATGCACCCTGATGCGCTACGCATTCTCCAATGCGCCTAGGCATGCTTCTGATCAGGTGGTCAATGTCCTTCTGTGGTATCTCATTCCAGGCAACCACCAACTCCTCTCGAAGCGCTTCTAGAGTCTGAGGAGGACGTTGCAAATTGAGCAATCTCCTACCCATCATATCCCACACGTGCTCAATTGGGGATAAGTCGGGAGATCTTGGTGGCCATGGTAACAATGTGACATCATTATGTTGACAGAAGTCTATTGTGACTCTTGCAACATGTGGTCGGGCATTATCTTGTTGGAAAGTTGGATCTGCCAGGGTGTCAAGATAGGGTAAAAGATGGGGTTCTAGAACTTCGTGGATATAACGCTGCGCGTTCATGTTACCTCTGATGAAGATTAAAGGTGACCTGGAACCATAAGCTATAGTACCCCAAACCATAACTCCAATAGTGTGATGAACATGTCTTTCAACAAAAAACTGTGGATTCTTCCTTTCACCACGTCGCCTTCTAACCCTGGCACGACCATCGTGCATGCCTAAACAAAATCGAGACTCGTCACTAAAGACAATACTGTTCCATTCCTGATCCCAGAGTGACCGTTGTCTGCACCACTCAAGTCGATTACGTCGGTGTTCTCGAGTTAAAGGGAGGACCCAGTGTGGCCGGTATGAAAACAAGCCAAAACTTATCATTCGTCGGTAAACACTTCGCATGCCAATAGGTCTTCCGTGTTCTGCAAACCATTCATTTGCAATGGACCTGGTAGTGGAGAAACGGTCCCTTAAGGCCAATAATCTTAGACGGCGATCTTCACGGTCTGTTGTTCTACGGCGGCGTCCAGTGCCCCCTGCTCTTTGCGTACGGCCTTCTCGAAGCCATGCCTGACAACACCTAACCGCAGTGTCTACACTTCTTTGCACTCTAACTGCAATTGCCCGAAAAGAAAGTCCAGCTTCCCGAAGTCCCACTATACGGCCCCTATCAAACTTACTAAGTTGACGAAATCGTACGGGTCTCCGTACTCTAGGCATCGTAACCGATCGTAAAGGATGTCAAGAACCAAAATCCGCCAACGTTAGTTCTTTACTGCGGCTGAAATATTCATTTTTAGAGCGTATAAAAACCGGAATGTCCAACTGATAAGGCTGAAAATTTTTTCACTTGTTATTTACAGTAAGATAAATACTCGTACATTCACCAACTTTTATTAAAATAAAACCATGTAAACTGGGTGCTCGGATTTATATGTCACTTAGTATAGTTTTAGGATAATTTCTGGTGTCTTCATCATGAAAATGAAAGTTACTCACTTCCACTGGTCACTTTGCCACTGCGTAGCCTCAGCAAGCATTGCAACGATTTTAATAGAAGGGGAATTATGCCATAACCCAATATTATCTAATAAATCTCGTTTTACATTAAAATCGCTGTGACGATTGCTGAAACTACTCAGTGACAAAATCGCCAATAGACAGACCCTTGAGAGTTGATATGCCTAATCAAAACATCATAAATTGTTACATTTTACATACTTGGTTTCACACAATGTTGTCCATTCTCCTTTGCAACGGGATGTTCGACTATAAAAGCCTACGGTTTGATTAACCTTAAGGAGCCTATCTTGCGGAGAAGAAGCATCTACCGCTCTAGCCATCCTTCCGGAATTCTACGCCCGAGAAGCAGTGGAAACCATCCTAAAAACGCCTCTTCCTGACGTCAAGGCCAAACAGAAAAAGGAGAAACTCAAAGTGTCCACTCCACCGCCTTCAGTACCTCCGAAAGCGGCCCAGGTACTGCAGGTACCGCTGAAGGGGAACCAGGAACTGATGCAATTGGTTCCTCAAGAGTGCAGGGTATTGAGTGAGAGTTGCGGAAACAGTTCTAAGACATCTGGAGGTCTGAATGTTGATATGAGGACTGGACGTTTTCAAAGGACGTCGCTCAGGCTGTCGTTGGTATCTTCTAGGAGGAAGAATGTTAGGAGGTTGACATCTACAGATTTTCCAAGTACGTATCTATAAATCGATGAACTGATGATTATTAATTGTGGATCTCAAATGAGAGTATCTCCTTACAAGTATTTCCACAGCTGAAGAGATTTAATAACACTGGACAACAAATTTTAGATTTTTAATTGTATCTTGTGGGAAAAGTGCACCTCTTTGTTAATTTTGGGGCGCTGAATCCAAAAATGACAATGAAATAAAAAAATTAGTTGCGGTTTAGAAAAAAACTTTTTATTTTTAAGGATATATTAAAAAAAGTAACAAGATTCATATACTTATAAGAATCACTATATGCGCTGTCTTTTTGCTGTTCTTTTATGGATCGTTTCTGGAGCATCTCTACCAAGAGTCCAACAGTAGTCTGCAAGCATGGAAGGATTCCACTTTCCCTGGTACCTTTTTTCCATTGTTGAAATATCCTGATGAAAACGTTCGCCGTGCTTACTTACGGCTCCGCAATTGTCAGGAAAAAAGTCCAGGTGTGAGTGTAGGAAATGTATCTTAAGATACTTATTACAGCCCATCTTTTGACACGATGACAGCATATTTTTGACAAGGGTTTTATAGTTGTCAGCTTTTCTATTTCCCAAGAAATTAGTGACCACCAGACGGAAATCATTCCAAGCAGTTTTTTCAATACCTGTTAAAGTGTTTTCAAACTGTGTATCTTTCAAAATATTTCGAATCTGTGGGCCAACAAAACTACCTTCTTTAACCTTTGCCTCACTTAGTCTTGGAAATTTCTGACGCAGGTATTGAAAAGCTGACCCATCTCTATCTAATGCCTTGACAAAGTTTTTCATTAGGCCCAACTTCATATGCAGTGGTGGTAATAATTTTTTTTTCGAATATACTAATGGCATTTGCTGTACATTTTTTTGACCTGGCTCTAGGAATTGACGAACAGGCCAGTTTTGTCTGGTGTAATGAAGTGCCTTTGCCCGACTGTCCCATTCACACAAAAAACAGCAAAACTTTGTGTAGCCTAGCTGCAGCCCAAGTAAAAGTGCAACAACTTTCAAATCGCCACAAATATGCCATTGGTGCTCATCGTATTTTATGCAGGTCAATAGGTACTTCATATTGTCATATGATTCTTTCATGTGAACTGCATACCCTACAGGAAGAGATGGTAAAATATTTCCAATATGCAATAACACTGCCTTTAAACTCAATGTTGAACTGTCTATAAACAATCTCCATTCTTCTGGGTTATAGTTTATATTTAAAGCCGCCAGTAAGCCGTTAATGTTACTGCAGAAAACCAAGTTATTCCCCATATTGAAAAATGGTTCTAAGTCTTTGTGGCGTTTACGAAAAACACATACCGAAACATCGTCTTCTAACAAGTTCCACTGCTGCAGTCTTGATTCAAGTAACTCTGCCTTACATTTTGGAAGTTCTAAATCTCTTACAAGATCATTTAATTCTGACTGTGTTATTTTGTGCGGTTGGTGGCATGACGTGCTCGGTATAAAATCGGGATCTCTTGTCGTTGATGGCATATCTTCTTCCTGACGAATCACTCGATCGCCATGATCTGATTCGTTTTCTGATTCGCAAGTGTAGGATTCTGGGGGTTTTGGAACAGGATTTTCGTCATTGGGATGCACAGGTCTCATCGCAGCTGGTATGTTTGGGTAGTTAATAACCGATTTTTTTTTCTTGGACATACCTGTGGCTTGTCCAACACAAGGTACCATGCAAAAGTAACAATCATTAATATGATTTGTAGGCTCTCTCCAAACCATTGGGACAGCAAAGCGCATAGACCTTTTTTGCCATTTAACCAGCTCCTCAGACTTGAAGCACATGTATTACAGCAGATGTGGGGTGCCCACTGTTTGTCTTGATCACCTAGTTTACAACCGAAATAGAGCTGATATTCATTTGTTATTAGTGGAGTAATAGACCGTCTCTGAGACGCAAAAGTCACATCACCACACACGTAACAAAACTGATCTGGATTGTTTACACACTTTCGAGACATCTTGCATGAACGCTGTCAGCCAACTGAGGAAAAGATGGCTAATATAAAACAATATAATGTACACGTATGTATAACGTAACACAATCATGCCGATTACATCATCTTTCCTTGCCGAATATAAAAATGTAGCACGTGCATTCTTGTGAATTACAGTATATTAACACTGTCACAGCAGGAACACATATAATTACCGTATCTCTAAAACTTGAACTAATATTGAAAAAATAAGTTTCATTCCGGTTTTAGCACATTAAAAATAGTAATATTTTGTTGATTTTATTTAGGATATTTTTTGGCTGTTGATCAGTGTAATTTTTCAATGCGATATTCAGATGGGAGTTAAAGCGTAAGTCCGACTCAAAGTAAATACCCATTTTTTGTTTAGTTTTTCAGAAAACGCACAATTTCCTCTCCATTAACTTTGATAGCATTTAATGGTTTAAGATTTTAACATGTTCTTTTATAGCCAAATAGTATGGCAGAACTTTTCACCTCTTAAGTTGTGAAAGCTACAGTACCTATCAACAATATCAAGATCTGCATTTACTAGCATCTCACTCCTGGACATTGTCGGCATTAAAATCACACTTCATCTGCGTATAATCAGCAAAAAATTGAGCATTTGTATTCTTGAAGCTATCATGTAAATCTACAGTGTAAAGTAAAAACATCAACGGTCCCAGGTCCCAGTACTGAGTCGTGTGGCACACTTGATTGAATGTATTTTGATGTCGAAATTTCTCTTTAAATATCCCCTAATGAAGTTACAGGAAACTTCGTCAAAACCATAGTGGTGACACTTGGCAATAAGTAGACGATGGTTAAGCTTATAGAAGGCCTTGGAAAAGTCTAACAGTACCAGCAAGCTCATGTGTTTACTTCTTCCCTTTTGCTCTCGTTCTTCCTTCTCTCCTGTCCTTACCTTTTTTCCTTAAAATTGTCTGGTTTCTGGGTTACCAGACCTGACAGACTTACAAACTGACACTGTGACTCAAGAGCTAAGGTCCCACGGACCGCTCTGACAACCAACGATGGCTTGATGACTGACTTAATGACTCATGTTTTTACTGTCGATGATCTAGAATCTGTGGACAAGCTATTGTTCTAAAAGTTTAGATGTACGAGGTCTGTGAGCTAAGTGATGAGACTGGCAACGTAGCGTTAGATCTGGCAACACTGGAGGCGCCGAGCTTGGAGGCAAGACAGGGTAACACGTGATCCGCCTTCAGTACAAGTTTGAACTCGCTCTAGTCATTTGTGATGACTGAATGAGTGACATCAATTTCGAGCAACAGTGTGCTCTCAAGTTTTGCACACTTGTGCACAGTCCGTCGGAAATTCTTGCTGAACTTCAGCGAGCTTACAGAAATTTTGTCAAGAGCCTAGGTTTTTCGGTGGTTTAAGGCATTTCCAGAAGGGGGAGAGTCTACTGTAGATGATCCAAGAAGCAGAAGGCCTTCATCTTCAAGAAATGATGAAAATATTGACTGAATCAGAGTTCTTGTGCATTCAGGTCGCCTCACAATCAGAATGGTCGGGAAAGAGTTAAATGTGACCCACGCCACGGTTCATCAGATCAAGAACAACTGAATTGCATCACGATAATGCTCCCTGTCACTCAGCAATGTCAATCAACGAGTTTTTGGCTAGTAAAAACATTCCTGTGGCTCCACATCGTCCTTATTCGCCTGAATTGAGTCCTTGGGACTTTTTTTTTATCTTTCCGAAGTTGAAAAATCACCTCATGGGAACTGATTTTGGGACAGTCGAAAACATTCAAACGGCTGTAACAGAGCAGCTGATGGCTATTCCAGTATTGTAGTCCAGCACTGCTATGACGAGCGGATGAAGAATATTATATCGTAACTATACTAAGTGACATATAAATCCGAACACCCAGTTTAAATGGTTTTATTTTAATAAAAGTTGGTGAATGTACGCTCTAAAAATGAATATTTCAGCTGCAGTAAAGAATCAACGTTGGCGGATTTTGGTTCTTGACATCCTTTACGATCGGTTACGATGTCTAGAGTACGGAGACCTGTACGATTTCGTCAACTTAGTGACTTTAATAGGGGCCGTATAGTGGGACTTCGGGAAGCTGGACTTTCTTTTCGGGTAATTGCAGTTAGAGTGCAAAGAAGTGTAGACACTGTGGTTAGGTGTTGTCAGGCATGGCTTCGAAAAGGCCGTACGCAAAGAGCAAGGGGCACTGGACGCCGCCGTAGAACAACAGACCGTGAAGATCGCCGCCTAAGATTATTGGCCTTAAGGGACCGTTTCTCCACTACCAGATCCATTGCAAATGAATGGTTTGCAGAACACGGAAGACCTATTGGCATGCGAAGTGTTTACCGACGAATGAGAAGTTTTGGCTTGTTTTCATACCGGCCACACTGGGTCCTCCCTTTAACTCGAGAACACCGACGTAATCGCCTTGAGTGGTGCAGACAACGATCACTCTGGGATCAGGAATGGAACAGTATTGTCTTAGTGACGAGTCTCGATTTTGTTTAGGCATGCACGATGGTCGTGCCAGGGTTAGAAGGCGACGTGGTGAAAGGAGGAATCCACAGTTTTTTGTTGAAAGACATGTTCATCACAGTGTTGGAGTTATGGTTTGGGGTGCTATAGCTTATGGTTCCAGGTCACTTTTAATCTTCATCAGAGGTAACATGAACGCGCAGCGTTATATCCACGAAGTTCTAGAACCCCATCTTTTACCCTATATTGACACCCTGGCAGATCCAACTTTCCAACAAGATAATGCCCGACCACATGTTGCAAGAGTCACAATAGACTTCTTTCAACATAATGATGTCACATTGTTACCATGGGCACCAAGATCTCCCGACTTATCCCCAATTGAGCACGTGTGGAATATGATGGGTAGGAGATTGCTCAATTTGCAACCTCCTCCTCAGACTCTAGAAGCACTTCGAGAGGAGTTGGTGGTTGCCTGGAATGAGATACCACAGGAGGACATTGACCACCTGATCAGAAGTATGCCTAGGCGCGTTGGAGA